ATAATTATTTTGTTAGTGGGTTTCATGGTTATATTAATTTACGGGAAAAGTTAGGGATCATGAAAATTTTTTCATGAAAATGATCATGAAAAATTTATGATTCTTGGATTACCTTGATTAGTGTGTGGTGCTTTATTCTAAGTGCAATTCAAGGGTTACAAAACTTTCATGATTATTTTCATGAAAGATTTTTCATTATACCTAGCATTGCTGTTAATTTACGTCACTTAGACATCGCACAGTTCTTCAACAATCTTATATACAGAGAGAACAAAGGAGAGAGGAGGAAGGTATAACTTCTTTCCTGAGAGATCCTTTAAGATAACAAATATGGCTGACACTGCTGTACAATTCTTGGTTGGGAGCATTGGATCCCTTCTTCAGAAAGAAGCAGCCTCGTTAGGAGCAGTCCGTGGTGAAATCAATGAGCTTAAGCTTGAACTAGAAAGCACGAGATCATTCTTGAAGGATGCAGATGAGTTCAAAGATGATAGTGAAGGGTTGAGACTATGGGTGACACAAGTAAGGGACATAGCATACAAGGCTGAAAACATAATTGATGAGTTCATGTATCATATGGGTGGCCAACTAAACAGAGGTGGTGGTTTCAGAAGTTTCCTTGGAAGAGTTGTTCACCTCCCCAAGGAACTCCTGGTGAAGCATCGAACTGCCATCAAGTTGCAGGAGATCAGTGCCGAGATCAAGGCCATTGCAAAAAGGAGCAAAAGATATGAATTTGGTAGAATAGAAGAAGGTCAAAGCTCACATGCTGCTCCAACATCGGTACAGAACCTTGCAGAGTCTGCATTGTTTATTAATGATGACGATGTTGTGGGGATTCAGAAGGAAATAAACTCATTATTGAAGTTGTTGATTGAAGGAGAAATGCAACGAACTGTCATTTCAGTTTGGGGCATGGGGGGTTCTGGTAAGACAACTCTGGTTGCTAAAGCCTACAACAATGAAGCAGTGAAGCGGTGTTTTGACTGCTACGTGTGGGTTACTGTCTCCCAGCACTATGTGATTGAGGACCTGCTTAGAAAGATGATTAAAGAACTTTTTTGCGGAAGGAAAGAATTAGTACCATCAAGCTTAAGCTCCATGGGTTACAAACAGTTGATGGAAACTCTAGTGGAGTTCCTGCAACAGAAAAGGTATGTCATTGTTCTAGATGATGTATGGGATGTTAATTTTTGGAGTCAAATTAAACTTGTACTTCTAGATGGTAGAAATGGAAGCCGAATCATTCTAACAACCCGAAACAGAGACATAGCATCTTACCCTTATGGAGTTGCATGCCATGTTATCCAGCATAATCCTCTTGAGGATTGTGATGCTTGGATCCTTTTTTGCAAGAAGGCTTTTGCCAGTGAACCTAATAATCACTGTCCTCCATATTTAAAAAACCTTGCTTGGGCCCTCGTAAAAAAATGTGAGGGTCTACCACTTGCTGTTGAGGCAATGGGTGGTCTCATGGCTTCAAAAGACAAGTCAGAACTGAAATGGGGGGCAGTCTGACAGTTTCAATTGGCATCTGTGCAAAGATTCCAAGCTCGAAGTGGTGAAAGCCATTTTGTTGCTCAGCTTCAATGGCTTACCATACTACCTTAAGAATTGCTTTCTGTATTGCTGTCTTTTTCCTAGCAATCATTGGATTTCAGCACATAAACTTGTAAGACTATGGATGGCTGAAGGGTTTGTAGAAGAAAGGAAAGGTCTCACACCAGAGGAGGTTGCAAAAGGCTATCTTAAAGAACTCATCTCCCGAAGCCTGCTCCAAGTTACAAGGAAGAACAACACTTTTTTGAGGCCCAAATTATGCAAACTGCATGATCTAATGCGAGAGCTTGCACTTTCTGTATCTGAACAAGATCATTTCTGTTCTATATATGATCCACAGGGAATAAAAGATGAAAGAATTGATCGCCGCTTCTCCATTCACACGTTTGGTCATGCAATACTTCAGCTGTGCAGAACTGATATGTCACAGGTTCGTTCTTTCTTTGCTTTTCATTTTGACAAGTGCCATACCTTTCCATTAGATCCATTTCTATCTGGTTTTAGATTATTAAGGGTATTAGAGCTGAGAGATGTGCCAATTGATAGTGTACCCAGAACAATAGGTAAATTATTCAATTTGAGGTACTTGAATCTAAAAGGAACTCGTATAAAGGAGCTCCCAAAATCCTTGGGAAGGCTTATGAATCTGCAAACCCTGGATCTTCGGAACACAATGGTGAAGGCACTTCCAGAGGGGCTAGGTAAGTTGCACAATTTGCGCCATTTACTTGCTTATGATGGTGATACTGGAAAGGAAGTATTTACCTATATGATAGGGGTGCAAGTTCCAGCAGACGTCTTGAAGTTAAAGAACTTGCAAGTCCTAAACTCTGTTGAAGCAAATGGCGACATAATTAGGGGAATTGGGAACATGACTCAACTCAAAAGGATAGGGCTTACAAAGGTGAAAGAAGAAGATCAATTAGCATTGTGTGCCTCACTCCAAAAGCTTAAACTCCTTCGCCATCTACTGGTAATGGTATCCAATGAAGAGGAAACCCTTCGGATGGATGCTTTATCATCCCCTCCTCCACTTCTTAGGAAGCTCACTCTAATTGGGAGATTAAATTGTGTGCCTCCTTGGTTTAGTTCACTTAGCAGTATTGTCCATTTGCATTTGCATTGGAGCCGGCTGATGGAGGATCCCATTCCGTACATAAATGCATTGCCCAATTTGGAGCGCCTTGCTTTTGTCAATGCATATGATCATGGCATAAAGAAATTGTGCTTCCATGAAGGCTTTCCTAAGCTTCAGCACTTGTCTGTACTTGTTTCCCCTGAATTAGTTGAAATAATAATTGAGAAGGGTGCGATGCCAAGCCTCTCACGCATAAGTCTGTGTGTATGTACCAAATTGAAGAAGGTGCCCCTTGGCATTGAGTACCTCACCAACCTCCAAGAACTGGAACTGAAAGATGTTTCAGATGAACTTGTCAATAGCATACGAGGAGAAGAAGGCTTTGATCATCCAAGAGTTCGCCACATCCCAGTGATCAACCACTACCAGCAGACAACATCATTCTGCAAATTTGAAAGCCTATCTTAGGTTTTTGTGGGGGACCATCATCATGAGTCATCACAGGTACTGCTATAGTTTTCCTTTTCTGTTTTGTCTTTACATTTGTGCAAGGGATTGGAAATATGGTGCTATATTACATAGACTCATATAATTCTAAATGTATGAAGTACCTGTGTCAGACATGTGTAGTTTGACATTTACCTAACAAACATATATAGTAGTTCGAGTTAACTATAAAACTGTGCATAAAACCCCCCATACTATGCATGAATAGCTGCTCTATCACACCTTGTGAACATTATTTTACTTAGAAAACAAAATTGTAGTAAGAAATATTAATTTGTTGTATCCTTGTATCTTTGGAAATGAGAACCAGATGAATCAGATACTCATATACTATATCTGCACCTGATATCCATACCTGAGTTGTAACATAAATGTTAGTGGCATGGTGTTGACAAGGTTATGTTCTTTCATTTTAAATTGCATCATTTGATGTTGTGATATAAACTGAAATCATTTGTTATTCATGATAAAGCTACTGTGGTAAAATTTAGTGCATCATCATCTTCTTCTTATAATTATTATGATTTATCATTTAATACAGATTGATTGAAGTTGAAAGTTGAGAGTTGATAGTTATCATCCAGTGTGACTAGGAACATATCTGATTTCTGAGCTAGAGAAGGTAAAATTGCCTCAGCTACCAGTATATCAGCTCTCTGAGGCAGATTGGTTGGGGTTGGAGATTGAAGTTTGCATCCAATTCAATTCAAAAGGGTATTGTATTTAAAATTTATAGCATAAGAGATTGTCTGGTCGCTTTGTAATCTTGTTGAATAACCGTATTCTATTGTCGGTTGTATGTACTTTGAGAAGTTGGTATGCTTACTTTCTTGTTGTGCATGGTCCTTTTTCTTGTTTGATCCTTCTTTCTCTTTTCACCATAGCTCTCTTGGATTTGTTAATGAAATGAACTGGTAGGGTCCATTACCAAAATTGCATACTAGGCATACATTGCTTCATAAAACAAAGTGTGAGCTTCTCTCCAGTTCACTAACCAGAGAGAGTATTTGGTCTTAGTAGTTCCATCTTGGCCAAGTCTGTAATCTGAATCATTCATCTTACAGAATATAGCAAATATTACAAGTAATAAAATGTGACGTATTAATCCATTAGTTGATGAGAAACAAGAGCTATCATACCACCAGTTTTATGATATTGAGGAAGAAGGTGACCAACAATCTGTAATTTTATTAAATTTCTAATCAAGCGTGCCACCGTAAGCTATTACAGTGTTGATTCCATATGAAAATCACAGCAATTAAGAATAAAATCTACTTTTAAAAGATCAAATCAAATCCCATCCTAATCAAAAGCAAAACTGCTTTTATTCTAATATAATGCTAACCTCAAAGTCATCTCTTTGAGATGAAATAGAATCTCAAAATAGCCTCTTTTAAGTCATCCATGACAGTCGTCAATAGAATTCTACAGACACAAACACTCGTATTAAAAATACGAGAGACTAAATATGATCTGTTGTCAAAAAAAAAAAAAAATTATATTGGTACTGAAACATTCAATGAATATCCAACACATGTGATTTATTAAGATTTTTAGTAAGGCTCTTCTTCAGTTATGTAGCAATAAATTGTCGCTTGTAATGCATTGGCTACCCTTTCTACATCAGACCATTCACGAAATCAAACTCAAAGCTCCAATTGCACTCACATTGACAATGTTGATGTTCATTTTCTAGATTAAGTATATATAATAGAGAGGAATTTCTTTTTGGGGCACACTGGCCTAATAAACTTCCTTGCATCTGTTTGTGGAGCCAAGGAATCAATCCTTCAATTTAATTTTTTGTCCAACAGTGATGGTTTGCACAAAAGTGTAGTATCTGCACTGAAGAAAATGTCAACAAACAATACATCCATTGATTATTCTTAAAATTACAAGAAGCTATATTCTTGTTCTCTCTGGCATGGGCACAGAAATGAGACTCAAAAGAACATTTTTATCCTTAGGAGAAGTAAACCTTTGCGGTAAAAAAAAAAGAAAAATCTGAGATGAGAAATGCTACTTTTCCTTTCATTTCTACACCAAAGTTTTCACCCCTGCTTTTGCCAGGCTGTGATGTTTTTTCAATACATATGCCAACATTCAGGAAAGTTCTTTGTTCTCTGCCTGTGCTTGTCAATGACCTGTAATGCCACATACTGAGTAGAGCATAACTTTTCTTTTTCAATTTCAATATTTTACTTTTTCATTTCTCTTCAGAGTAAAGACAATTTGTGAAGCTGGTGAACATTTCACAGGGAAGAAGAGCTTGTAATTTTATTTATATGTAAAGTAAAATGACAATAATAAGAAGAAAAGAAAAAGGAGAACTGAGAGTCCAATGGTATAATTCTCACAATATGGTCTGGAGAATGAGATTCCTACATGACATCAATCTTTCAAGCCTGCAAGTAGGTAATGTAAATGTCATTTTTTTTTTTTTTTTTAAATTCAATTTATCAACCAATCAAAGAAAATAAATTGAAAAGGTAAGAATAATGTAGAATGCAAGGATTGGAAAAGAAAAAAAAAATGATTTAACAACAATCTTTTGATGGCATACCCTATCTTTGTATTTTCTACTATGTACTTTCGAAACATGCAAAATGTTTAGATGAAATAATATTTACAGAAAGTGAAAGGAGAAGAACGATTGTGGAGCCCATAACTCTATCCATCTTGCAATTTAAGTTACAGAGAAAGGAACCCTCCATTGAAATAGTTAGCACAATTGCAAAAAGTGAGTGACAAGAATCATATATGTTGGTCCCAACTTTCACCAGTTCACTTAAAACCAATTGGTGATAGGGAGAACTTCAGCTTTTGTATGGTGGCAGTCAGTGCACTATCGGTGGTTAGTCCACAGTGCTCACTACCAGGTCACCTAAAACCCATTGGTGTTAGGGAGAGCTTACTATGGTGGATTACTTGACCCCATAACCTAACAATGTACAACCAGAACAAAATTTATAAAGTTAGTGACAAAGATCACCAGAGATCATGTCAATCCAACTAGTAGACATAGATCCCAGACAATGAACAATTATATGTCCTTAAGTTTACTTCAAATGAGTTGCATTCATCTGCATACCTTTATGAGGATGGAAGCGAGCACCAAATTTCTGTAAATGATCCACAATAGAACTAGTATGGGAAGACATTACACTCTTCATGTCGGAAAAATTTACCACTTTGTCATATAAATCTTTATGCTTGAAGCTAGAAAACCTTCTAAGTGCTTTCCTTTGTAAGCCAGAGAAGTGTGGGCTAATATTACTCCACCCATTTCCCACACTAAGTAGAGCACTGGATCGAGCAAACTCCAATGCACCACTTCTTGTAGCCATAAAAGCTGAGAGAGAAGAAAAAACAAAGTGTTGATCAACTTTGGACACTCAAATACAATTGAACACTCACAGAAGTCAAGGCACATTTTTCTATCAACTGGTGTACAAGTACAAAGCTAAACTCTATTATTATTATTATTATTATATGACGAGGAACCTCCCCAAGGAAGGGCCATTTGGACCCACCGTTTAGAGTAAAAAGATACCTACAATACCGAGAAACCACAAGTATTATTAGAGGGTGTTTGGCATGTGCTAAATTAGTATACTTTTTGACTTTTTATGAAAAAAACGTGAAATATGGATTGGGTTTGAAGTGATGTGGTAGAGAAGTGACGTGATTCAAATGAGATGATTGTGACCCAAATAAAATAATATGCTAAAATAGCACACGTCATGCTATTTTAGCACATGTCAAACAGTGCCTTAGTTAAGCTCGGGAGACACCAGCCAGAATCGAACCTAATACATCCGAGTTTACGGCTTGTTCTAAAGCTAAACTCCAATGTACCAATTATGCATTTTAGCATTCATGTTGCCTTAAAGTAGATAGGAGTGTAAAAGATAACTTCACAATTAGCCACAGATACAGAGAAACCATAAAAACAAGTAAATTACAAAATGATGTGAGTACCGTTATAAGGAACTTCCAAGACATAATTTGCAGGGAGACCAATGCCGAAACCAGCCAGAGTGATGCCAACACTAAATCCAACACCACAGCCAGCTCCAACATAACCAATCACCTCAGGACCAAAGCCAGGACCCCATCCAACCCCACAACCAATGCCTATTCCCATGCCCCAAAAAGCTCCAGATGTTGGATGCACTGGATTCCATCTTTCATATCTCCTGAACAAACCTTTTATGATCATTAGGACCTACAATCAGAATAGACAAATATGTAACAATTCATAAGACAAATTTCTACAAGCAACAACTCACAATGTGCCTAATGCACAATAGCGGGAAACTGGTTTAATTTAAGAGAGACAATAAAATTTTAAACCTATTTTCCAGTTACATTTAGTATTTAAGCAGTGTATGAGGCAGGCAACTGGTTTAATAAAAGAGACACAACAAAATTATAACACTATTTTCCAGTCAAATTAAGTATTTAAGCTATTTGAACTATATATAGATGCTGAGAAAAAAAATCTCTCTTATACAAATGAGGATGTTTTCTCCTGTCCTCAATTCTGGAACAAATTGTGGTTGACTTTTTTAAGCTCCATTTCCTCAACAACGAGTAAAAAGGTACTCAAAGCATATTGATGCTCCCATTTATACATATATATATATAAGATAAATTTGGTTTCCTTGTCAAAGTGCAAAGAATTAGGTTGTTCCATTGGTGTCTGGTAGACTACCTGGAAACACAACTGACAGTAGATAAACAGTTTTTCCTAATAGTTTAGTTCTAAGTACAGAAGTACAAAAGTGATGAAGCAAATATTGAGAGGGCGACCTTCCTAAGGAAAAAATATAATCAGCAATCTGAGAATATTCAACCCTCTATATTAATAGAAATACACCAACAACACATCTTCACCAGTTTTCAGTGAAGTATCATCATTTCTTCAAATAAATAGAAATGAGCCCTATATAGAAAGTGTTGGAACTCTCTTAATTGATTCAGGAAGATCAGTGACCAAAAAGATTAACTCTACTGGTGGGCTCTTATTTCAGACTATGTTAACGCAGAAATAAGACTTTCCTATCAACTTTTTTGGTATGGAAGTTACATGGTAAACTAAAAGATGAAAAGACAAGAAAAGAGTCTTAGTTCTTGAACTTCATAAACAATTGCTATTTTTAACTAAAGAGACAATGATCTTGAGACATCAAGATTGATGATACAGAAAGAATTTTTTTAAAGAAACGCATTCACAAAACTACAGAATAGCAGCCCAAGGAGTCAGCAGGTAAATTTGGTAATGTGTGACAAAAACTAATACTGCACCTGTGAGGAGGAGGGATATGGTTCAGCTAGAAGGCACTGCAAGTATGAGTAAATTAGAACACGGAAAAAAAGAAGAAGAAGGATGAGGGTGCAATTCTAAGAATACTGGTGCCTGCAAATTTATACCGACTATGATTATAAAATACAGATGAAGAGAAGTGATAAAACACAACTATAGAAAGCTGACAGTTCATACATTCCACAATCAATTAAGGTGGATATTTTGAGGTCCAGACTCCACTATGTATATCCTTTGTTTTTTTTTTTTTTGTTTTTTTCTTTTTACTATCTTTCACGCAGTGGTTGAGTTGAACGTATGTTTAGTATTCAAGGATATTGAGGTACAAGCCTTACAATTCTACAATATCTGAGCATCATACAGGTCCTAAAGACTCACCTGAAACTTTCTGCTGTTGCACCTCAGGTTTCTGATTTCACCTAGTCATACATTGGAAAGATAGTTAAGTTACTGATTTCAAGGATCAAAATTTACTAAATTATAACATAGGATTCCATCCATTAATGTCACCCTATGTAGTCAAAGGAAGATATATAACGAAATTTGTGTCCAACATGCTAATGGAAGCAGCAGCAATCCTAGGTTCTACTATCCCAACAGAGTCGTGTTCCACTCTCGTACAACTAAACTACAACATAACAATCTACTCCATCATTCTATGACTTTAAGAAATGCATAAGTACTACTTGAGAACGTTATTTGGATGACACCCTTAACATAACATTGCAATGACCATGCCAACTATTATTAAGAGAAAATGGTAACTCAAGTGAAAAGGAGGCAATAAGATGAGCTCCTGTAAAATTATAAAAACACATTTTCTACAGCTAGGATGAAACGTGCTTGCCATTGTTACGTGTTCCAATGTACTATACTTAACCAATCAGTGATCTGTGGATGTTGCACGATATGCCTCATAAGCATTCAAGTCCTAGGTTCGTAGCACTCTATGAGACCTTCAGGGTCAATTCCATTCAGTGGCATGCACAGGATAGGATTTTTTTTCTCTCTTTTTTCACATTGAGATTATAGGTATTGTGTGGGGGTATAAAAGACAAAAACAAAGATGGGTTGAGATACCTTGATATTTAACTGAAACACAGCATTTGATCAAGTGGAATGGTGTAATAGGATTTCATGTAGCTGACAACAAGTAGTTGGAAAAGGCTTAGTTGAGTTGGTTTTTTTTTTTACCATTTCTTTTCATACTGACATTTCTCATACACTAGTGAATTTAACAGATAGATCATCTGCAAAAAAAAAAAAATCTAGAAAAAATGCAATAAAAGCAACAATTCAACATATCTAAAATCACAAATAGCTATATTTTACAGTAAGTTCTTTATCACCTTTACTAGAACAGTATCCCGAAATAACACTGTGCTTGGAAGCAGGAAAACCGGATTTTTGATTAGAATTAGATGCCATTAGTACAAATTTTGAAGTAGGATAGTCTCCAATTCCAATTCCAATTCCAAGGCATAGATTCCATGCCCCTAAACAAACTCCAAACAAATTTGTACTAACCCTAATCATATGCTGATCAGTTAAATATAATGAACTCATAGTACCAACCGAATTGCACAATTGGGTTTTTGTTTTTTCATGTCACTGATTAATTACAACCCTCCAATCCCCTTCCTAATTAAACAGTTTGCACTTTTTTGGGGTTGTAGGAAAAGCCATGAAAAATAAAATAAATTAAACATTTCAATATTATATCCTTAATTAATCAACCCAAAAAAAAAAGCCCACTTAACAAACCTGAAACAACTATTCAGCTAAGTTCAAATGTCTAGCCTATACTCAGCTAGTTTTCAATTTCTTTCAACACAGCAAAACATACACACTGTATGGAGAGAGAGAGAGGGAGAGAGAGGGAGAGAGAGAGAGAGAGAGAGAGAGAGCACTGTAATTACGCTACCATCAAGCTGAGATTCAAATCGGAGCTTCTCTCGATATTTTTTTCGTTTTTCAGTGTGAGTGGCGCCAAAGAAGCTGGAAATGGATAAATGGAGTATAGGAAGCGCAGAGGATCCGACATCAGATGGAGCTCCGTTTTGTTTCGGGTCGGGTCTGGTGTTCGTTTTATGTAAATTAGACTGACCTCCACTGAGGTCCTTACAATTACAAGAAAATCCTCATTTTTCTGAAATTACACTAAGCTCCCATCAGATTTGTCGATTACTTTCTTTCTGCACCCAGAAATACAAATTTTACAAATGCATATATGATGGGAATTAAGCAAGTGTATTTAGAAGCTCCAAGTAATATCTTAATTCAAATTTAAAAAATTTAATATTTTTATTAGCGAGCATCTTGATGAAAAGAAACTCTTGGTTTCGAAAAAAAATAAAATTCAAATATAATCATCAGCTATAATTCCAAAATAATAGATCTCATAAACAATATAAAAGAAAAATGAAGAAAATATCTTATTGTGGTAATCATATTTGTTTGTTATTCATATATTAAATTGTTCAAATGTTAATTCACTTGTTAATTGTGAAGAGTGAGTTGACATCTGACGAGATAGAGAGAGAGAGAAAGGGCCAAGTAGTAGTATATGTGGTGTGAACGAGAGGCAAGTGAAAAGTGCGGGTGATAGGGCATTTTATATTTGAATTATTTAACCATTTTATTTTCTTTACAAACACATATATACTTGAATAGATCCCATTCTTATTGAACACAACCTTAACATCTTCGATACAACACCTACACATTCACCAAACTAACAAATCTTAGCACAGATAATTAAGTCTCATTTTTATCACTTTTTGCCATGTAAGGCACACTACGTTACAACACGTACACATTCACCAAACTAACAAATCTTAGCACAGATAATTAAGTCTCATTTTTATCACTTTTTGCCATGTAACACACACTAAGAAACATAAGCCGTAATGGGTTGTTTTAGAGCTCATTAGTTCCCTTTAAATTGGTCTGATTGTATTGCTTTTGCTTCGCATGAAATTTTAGATGTTGATGATTCGGTCTATGTTATCAAAAACATTCATACTCTAGTAATTACATATTGATACACACGTTCTAAAACATAGTACATTTCTGCTCCAAAATAGTAAATTTAGTGATCCAAGGTGTTCTCAAACAAATTTTCCAATATATTTCCTTAAATGTAATTTTAGGAGGAAAAAAAACCAAATATAATGAACTAAAATCTAGGATGAGTTAAATTTTGACGAGACAAAAACATTAAAAATGAAAAGGAAAAAAAAATTATTAAATGCCTAATTGTTAAAAGAAAATTATTTTAGAAGTAATATATACTAATCTACCCGTATCATATTACATTTTAGAATATGTTGCGTATCACGTTTCTGTTCCTGTTTCACATACCGAAACGATTCATGTTCAGGTAACATAGGTTTCGGTGCTATATTGTGGCCTTATAGCTGGTTTTCTCTAATCAAAACAAGAACAAGAAAAAGTATTTCACAAAGCAATTCAAGACAGTGATTCTAAGATTAAAAAAAAATCAAATTTAATAATAATTTTTACTCAAAACAAATTTTCAGAATGCATGAAACCACTATCTAGCTTCAATCACTGTAATTGTTACACTATTGACAGAACAAGTTCCAGTCATTCTCGGCGATGAATCTGTGTCCTTCACAGCTCGGCTGGTAGAAAAAGCAGGTTGCTTAGGCGTTGGCAGAGGCGCAACCTCATTGCTGAGCATCGAGACAATGCCAGACATAGTAGGTCGATCAGTCGGCTTTTCTTGGACGCAGAGAAGTCCTATGTTGATGTATCTTAGCACTGTTGAATTACAAGCATAATCCAGAACCACATCCAGCAATTCTGATACTTGACCGTCATTCCAGAGATGCCATGCCTGAAAATTTCAATTATTCAGATGATATGCATCTTATCTGAGATTTAAAAAGGTGAAAGAAATAAATGGAGAGAGAAGAAAAGGTCTCATCTGTTGCTTACATGTCCAAGGAGATTGAGAGAGAGATTTGTAAGTTCAACAAAGCTCCTTCCAATATAGAACACGTACCGGCATTATAAGCGTAGGCTGTGCAGGAACAATTCTGCAGGCAACCTAATTCACACCATTGAGAGCTCGGACCAATATATTCTTTTGAGCTTGCTGGAAATTTCACATCTGAAATTTTTAAAAACACATCATTTTTCCTAGTAACATTGCTTTCCAACTGCAAAGGGATTTTCCTCACGCAACCACCTGACCAGTCATCTAGTAGCGTTGCTTCAGTTGAAAGTGGTTTAAAACCCTGCAAACACGTGCAATGGGTTGAGGAAGTCTCATTGAAGATACCAAATGCCCCACAATAAGCATAAACCTCGGATAGTTTACTCGGTTGAGTCAGTAATATTTTCCAATCCCAAACACCGTCTAGCCATGCCAGCTGGCTAATCTGTCCTGATTGTTCCATCACAAATCTTGATAGCATAGCACTGTTCTTAAGAGAGTAGGTAAAATAGCTCTCACTTTCATCTGAGACAAAACTGAAATTGAAGATATTGTTTGACCCCATTTCTGGAGCCAAGTTAAATTTTTCACCATCCCAGGCTCCACTACTCCAATACCTTACGGACATGTTCCACTCTATATAAAATTGAGTGGTTTTATTTGGATTTATGTCTATCCCAAGTGAGAACACCCCAGGAGCTGGATCTTCTGAGTTCCTCCATGAAACGAGGCTCTGGGTTTTGCCCGTAAGCTTATCTACTCTGAGCTTTGCACCAGGCAGCCATGTATCTGTTGGGTGATCGAAACTCTGCCAAAATACAGTAGATGGCTCCGAACTATTTCTTAGTACAAAGTTGCCATCATCAAGAAGCACAGCTTCTGTAGAATTAGCTATTGGGGACATCAAATTTGTTGACCAAATTGGGGTTTTAGATGAATCTTCAAGTAGTAGAAGATTACCATCCTCTGAGAACTCAAGTTTTGAAGAAGATGGATTAGACAATGGTTTGTCTCTGTTTGCTACCCAAACTATGATCTTATCCGTGAAGTTTTTATACCATATGCCAAGGTAAGTGTTAAAAGAAGTACCTTTAGTGAAGAAACCGAGTTCAAAAATGTTTCCTTGAGATGCTAGAGTCCGGTTCACAAGGAGATTCTGACCTGCTGAAAGTGTGTCGCCTCCAATTGAATGGCAGGTATTGAAAGACACAAACAGAAGAACAATGCAGGCAAACATGCTGCCACAATCCCTCCGGTATGGCCACATTTCGGATTATGTAAACCAACAAAAATTGTCATAACGATGAAGAACAAACAATAGTATTGTAAGAGACAGTCATGTATTTCATCCAACTTGAGGTCAATCATATTTGTAATTTAGTGCCATTTTCAAATGTGCCCAATGCCGATTAGTCCACCTATTAGTTGGAAGAGGTATGACAATGTGGAACATTTTGATCATTCAACGGGTTATATTGTTTGAAAACAAAGAAAGGTGATAGCAACCCAATATTCCCGTGTGTTTTTGACCGTTCTTGGTGTGGACAAAGGCCATGGTAGGTCAAAATTGTGATATGTGATACTAGGGGAGACGAATCTTAATGCTGTGTTTGGTTGGGGTTTTTGGGGTGAGATTTGGAAAAGGAATGAGAAATGTAATCCTATTTATGTTTGGTTATAATAAAAAATATATGGGAAAAGAAATGGGGTGAGAAGTAAATAAAGAAATAGGAGACCTTTTAGGATATCAATTCTATTTTATAACCAACACAACCAAACATAGTTGAGGTTTGGAATTCTATTAATTCTTTCTCCTTTTCCTTTCATTTCCATTTCCCTTTCCATTTCCTTTCCCAAATCCTCCAACCAAAGACAGCGTAAGTGTTAAATTTTTTACTCTGATAATATGTTAAAATACCTTACTCAAAATAAATTGACAAAGACAGAGAGGCTTCTAAAATATATTATCTAATTTTGAGTGGCTTAGAAAGACTTTGTGAGACAAATGATTCCTAGTGGAATCACCTAAAGTTTGGGCATGAAAGTTTCATTTGATGTATAACCCATCCATTTTTTGAAGATTTTCGCGTATTGAGATGTATGACTTTTTATTAACATTTAATTATTTTAATCAAAAAATCAAATTATCAAACAAAGGCCTAAATATTTAATTATTTTAACTAAAAAATCAAATTTTCAAACAAAGGCCTAAATATTAGCTTGATCGCTCACATAAGGCTGGTTTTGGGGTAGTTTTTCTTAAATTGGAAGTCAATAATAATAAAATAGAAGTTGAAAATATTTTTTCCAAATTTTATTATAATTAATTTTTTGTAATTTATTTATCAATCTTATAAATTATAAATAGAAATTAAATCAAATCAAATATTCTAGTACAAGACAATTAAAAATAAAATAAAGGAGGATTTACGTGCATGTCCTAATGGCCCCGTTTGTTTTTAGAGATAAAATGGAGGGGATTCATAGTGAGAGGATTGATAGTGAGGGGATTAAGTAAAATTGTGTTTGTTTTGATGATAGTTGTTAGTGGAGGAATTGTTAAATTATTTTTATATGAAATAATAAAAACAAATAAAAAAATATAAAAAAATTAAACATTAATATTTAAAAAAAAATCCCAATGTATAAAAATAAAAAAATTTCTAATCCCCTCATTACTTTCTAATACCATCTCTACCTCCTCCATCTCAATCTCCTTTCTAACCTCCATCTATATCACCTTCTCCATCCTAATCTCCTCCTATCTATTTAACCCCAAAACAAACGGGGCCAATAAGTGAATTTATTGTCTAATAGGTCATGTGATAATTAACGACGTTTTCATCAAACACTATTAAAAAACTTCACTAATTGTTAATTTTTAGCAATATTTTGAAAAAATTGTTACAAAAAAATCACTAATTATAAGTTTTAGCGACAGTTTAAAAAAAGCGTCACAAAAAATAACTAAATTTTAACTTTCAACAACAGTTTGAAAATTTTGTCACAAAAAGTCATTAATTATAAGTTTTAACAACAATTAATAAAAATTGTGACAAAAAAGTCACTAATTGTTAATTTTTAACAACATATATAAAAAATCGTCACAAAATATTATTCTTAGTGATGATTTTGTTAGAACTAATTTTCAATAGAATTTAATAGAAATTAAATCCAATTATTAAGACTTATTGATAATTTAGCTTAAAAGGAACCACATGCTGCACCAAAAAAATAACTATATTAGGAGAACATGTAATTTTTGCACAAAAAAAAATTGAATTATCCAAATTCAGAGTTATACATATTCAACAAAGAGAAAACACGAATGTGCGACAAAGAAAAAGAATAGAAGGAAAAAGAAAAGTAAAAGAGATGGTTCAACAACTACTTGAAACTCGGCAAATGCAAAAGTTGGTGATCAACATTATAATTTTCTTGGATGGACCATCAGATCTTTCAAACTAATAAACAAACACAAAAGTCAGAGGCTATAAAACTAACTGGGAAAATATCACTTCAGTGGTATTTGTAAATAAAAAAATTAAATTAAATTAGTGATAAATTTTATAAATATTAATAATCAAAATTTTAAATTTTTTTCATGAATTGATAATTATTTTCTCAAACTAACACCGAATTGTAATTTTCCCTAAACTATTGGAAGAATTACATCTCATGGTTTGATCAAAAATAGTATTTACTATAAAGTTACGATGTAAGTTTTTGATGTGGGAAGAAAAAATGATACAGATACAAAATTTATATTATTTTAAAATTGTGTCCCATTTTTCACTAATTTATTGTTCCTCCTAAAATATTATAAAAAAATACAAAGATAAATTATTAGAGCATTTTTAATAAAATTGTGTCCCAAGAGCTCGTGTGCTTTCACTAAAGTGAGGCATTTGCACAATTAATTCAACATCTTTTCACCAAGGATCCTCTAAAGTTTTTTTTTTCTAAAATTTCTTAAAGTGGTGTGTTGTATGGATGAGATTTAATGTTAAAAAATTGATGTGACTTATCATTAAATCTCAACCATACAACACACCACTCTAAAAAATTTTAAGAAAAAAAAACTCTAGAGGATCCTTACTCACATTTTTTTGGTCTCCAGTGCATGAATTCTGCAATAAAATTGTTCCTGCCATGGCAATTCGGGGACAGAGAGGGGTGGTGGGGCCAAAGCACAATTAATTCAACTTTTTTTTGGTCTCCGGTGCATGTATTGTGCAACAAAATTGTTCCTAACTATGGCACTTCGGGGATAGAGAGGGGTGGTGGGGCCGAAGCACAATTAATTCCACTCTTTCTGGGTCTCCGGTGCATGTATTGTGCAATAAAATTGTTCCCAACTATGGCAATTCGGGGAGAGAGAGGGGTGGTGGGGCCAAAAGTTTATGTAGTTAGTTATGATATATTGTATTATTAGTTAAAAAAATTGTTGAAAGGTTCAAGATGAGAAGGATATAAGATATTAGATTCAGTAAATATTTTTTTGTTTGTGAGAGGTTCACAATTTGTGAAATAATACGGTAAGAAATCTTTTCATTGATTTTAGAGGACATTTTATTCTAATTTTATTCCTTAATTTATCTGTTGACTTTTCGTTGATTATCTATTCAAATTTGTATCTACATGTTCTAATTTTTTTCTATTTGTTCAAATTTATATCTATTTATTCAAATTTTTTGACTATCTGTTTAATTTTTTTCCATATCTATTTAAAACTTTGCTATCTATTGAATTTTTACACATCTTTTCTCTCTCTCTATTTGCTGCAATTCTCATTTTTTACTTATCTGTTCCAATTCTCATTTTGAACAAATCATATCTGCCATTCAAAAAAATTATTTGTTCATTTTTTTTTCTATCTGTTGAAAATATTTGTTTATGAATCCACTATTTGTTGGAAACCTTTTCTCTCTCCCTCTATCTGTTGTAATATGTTTCATCAACATTAACATCAACAATAACAACCAATTTTTAGCAATATTTTGAAAAAATTGTTACAAAAAAATCACTAATTATAAGTTTTTGCGACAGTTTAAAAAAAGCGTCACAAAAAATAACTAAATTTTAACTTTCAACAACAAAAACATATATATAAACAATCGATCAACAGATAATAAAGAGAATAAAAAAAAAATCATCATCATCTTCATCAACAACAGATCTACGCTCAAGTCAAAAAAAAAACATATATATATATAAACAACAAATCATATACATTTATATATACATATATACATACATTTATAAATGTATATATAAACATTACATACACATCTATTGAAACATATATATGTTGAAATATGCCTATGCATTACATATACAGATTTTAGGATCCAAAGCCAGATCAGGAAAACCACTACTATTGTGTGTGTAAAAGGTTTTGGGGGATTGTTTAGGGATTGAGGTTGAGATCATTGATCTCAATTTCTAGATCTGACCCCTTGTGATCTCGACGATTGAGGTTGTAGTCCGACTGGTTCACAACTCCCTCTCAAATTTGTACCAAGAGAGATCTGAGGAGATAGAGATCTGAAGAGAGAGAGAGAGAAGTCGAAATCACCACCACTACCTTTGCTTCGCTTCTTCTACTGTCTAGGTTCTTTGGCTACGCCATCCTCTGCTCTACTTCTTCATTGCCTTATCATCATCGGCGGTGAAACTAAGGTTGGGATTAGGGTTTTGATTATGCGTTAGAGATTCGAGGGATGATGGAAGGATGACAACGACGGGATAGTGGTAGGACGGTGGTGGTATTGGGACGGTGATGGTGTCGGAGAAATGATGAAGACGGTGGTGACGACAAGGAGAGTAAGGAAGAAACAGAGATAGAGACGAAGCAAGTTTCGGGGAGATCAGCGAAAGTGGAGAAGATTGGCAGAGGAAAAAGTGTTGGCAACGATAGAGATAGTGTGGTCAGTGACTAAAGATAAGAGAGATAAGAGAGAAGAGAAAGAGTTAGAAAGAGTAGAGGGAAGAGAAAAGAGAGAGTGTAAGGGCATCTCCAACGGTTCACAATTTTTTTCATCAAATTTGAGTAAAAAAACAACGAGTTCCTCAATCTAATATGAACCACTCCAACGGTGTACTGTAGCTTTCATCAAATCTAAGTGGACGTTCAGGGGGACGATCATGAGTTTTCAACATGGTCTTTTCTGTTTGTTGAAAGTGATTCAAATGTCATTGCCTCACTTAACAATTCATTCACTTGTGAGTTCTATGGGGTTGGTACCAATGCCTTTGGTTTTGGAA